AAAGAGGTAGATTGAGGCTGGTGAAGAAGTTGTGGAAGTAAAGCTTTGTAAAACAACTAAGACTCCAGAGTAAAAAGAAATAGCTAAGGAGCTTCTGTCTCTTTAAGGCAGTCAAAGTTTCTAAGAATTGAAAAGGAAAGATTGTAAGAAGTAGAAGGCCAAAAGAAAGTCAGAAAAATCATGGAAAATGAGATACAGCAGTTGAAGTATTCAGATGAAACAACTTAAAGACCAAATTAAGATCATGGCAGCTGATATAAAACAGTCGAGAAATCAGATGAATAATCTTATAGTATTTACCTGCTTCTAACTATATTGACATGACAACTCAAATTGGGCAGCTGGAAGATCAGAGTGTAAATCCCCCAATTAACATCAAATACCATAAATGTGGGAAGCTAGGCCAGAATCGGGACCCACTGGTAAATGAAAGAAAAAAGTTGAATATTTTCATTTCAAACCATTCTCAGTATAATTCAATTCTATGCTATGGGAGCACTCTGGTATCTTGGTTAGACCTGTGGTGCCTTAATGTAAAATGGGAAATTGAGCCAGACCAATGGATGATAATGGAGAATAATTAGATGAAATGTTTGTGGAATATTAGGTTATGCTGCGTGGTGAAGGGGTAACCAGCCTCTCATCAGTGTCTGTGTACTGTAACCAGGTCCAGCTTAAGAAGACTGGGCATGGCCCAAAGGGAAAAGAGAAAGTGAAGCCTTTGGGGGAGATTATGAGAGGTGAGAGAGAACAAAGGGAGGGAAGAGCAAAGGTTAAACCACCTTTGTGTTAAGGAACTCCATGTGAAAAAAGTCTGGAATTAATTAGCAAAAATTTCACTGGAAAAGCAGCTTGAAAGCAGGAAAGACTCTGCTATCGAGGAATTGTGAAGGTTGGTACCTTTTGGACCACAAGAGGAACTGCCAAGTGTGGAACCATTAATCCACGAGTAACAGTGTTTTGTGATCTGTGAAGGGTGGATTTAGTCAGACCACAAGTATCAAAACCTTTGGAATAGCGAGAGAAAAATCCTTGCTCGCAAAGATTGCAAGGAAAGCATTATCTTTTGTTCGTCCACTAAAGTTCGCATAGTTAAAGAAATAGTAAATTCTCTCAGCTGAGATTTTCTCAGTTTTCTCAACTTAAAAAGACCTTTGAGGGAATTGGCATTATAATCACGGTTTTCCCCTAGCAGCGGCTAATAGTTTATATCTGTATTGGGCGTCCTCATTTAAAGAGCCCATACCTGGAACTCTGATAATTACCATCTTTTGCCTAGAAAGAAAAGGGCTAGATAACAGGAAGAATTTCCCTTACCACATGAAAAGTTATTGTTTAATATAAAAAAGGGGGGGAAATGTAGTAGCCCATATAGCCTATGGCTAGGAGGAGTGAGAGTTACAGGAAACACCTGTAATGGAACTCCTTGGTGAAAAGGGCATGGAGAGAGATTTGGTTCTAACAAGCATGAGAGCTCGCGAGATGAGAGCAGTGGTGAATTGGCAGTCTCTACACCTGCGGTGGTGAGAAGCACAAGCTCAGCCTTATATTGGGCTGGAGGAGCGGGCAGACAAGAAGTATGCACATTCTGTCACAGACACCCTTACTGTCTCCTCTCCTGCCTGTAGAACGCCAGCACGGTGTGTCTCTGCCGAAGATTACCAAGCTTTGCCAAAGACTAAGATCTATCTGTTCTAAGACTGCTTTACTCTAAGACTGACTCTCACTCTCCCCTCCCCCACCCAGCTAAAGTAGATAGTAGATAGCCCTCAAGCATCTAAGAGAAGAGAAACTGTTCCTGAGCAAGGTAGCTTAAGTTCCAGACCCGGACCGCTATCTAAACCGGCCCTGACAAGTGTCAGAAGCAGATCCCGACATCAGGTACTAATCCACCGGCTGGTTGAAAGACAAGCATCTTTGGAATCCTGCCTGTGGTTCTATAGTAGTGTGATCCTAGCTGAGCTAAATTATTTTTTCGATGTATTCATCGGTAAGATGGGATGCGTGCCCGGCTTGCAGTGTCATTATGAGGATAGAAACGATATGTTTGAATTGTGAATGTAACAATGCCCGGGTTAAGCAAAGTGTCTAGATTTCACCATCACTGATAGAATTTCTAGTTCTTAAAAATCAAGCCTGCAACCATCCAGAAATAAGTCAGCAGAAAGGGGGTTTTGTTTTCAGGGGCCTCACTTTTCTTGAGTATTCAAAACTAAATGTCTTCCGTTCTGAGACTCCTTTTACTATATAAACTGAAGAATTACATTGAATTGCAATGTGTTTTTGGTTTTTAAAGTAATACACTAATGACTAAAGGTATTTTGATTTTATATATTTTCAACATAATAGTGTATTTTCAAAGGCACACAAGCAAATGCACAGGAGTATAGACTCTCTCACACTTCCACAGGCTGCCTGTATTACTGTCCCCGTCACCTTTCAAGTGGGTCAAAGAACCTACTTCTAACATTCCTAGGTGATAGTATAAAGAATTTACACTGAAACATTAAAGTATAATTCATAACTATAAAGCCCCCAGATGGGCTGCACATGTGGCTGATGTCTGCAATCCTGGCACTCTAAGACGCTGAACTGGGTAGATGCCTTGAGTCTAGGAGTTTGAGACCAGGCTGGACAAAATAGTGAGACTGTGTCTTTACAAAAAATTCAGGCAGGCATAGTAGTACATGCCTGTAGCCTTAGCTATTTAGGAAGCTGAGGCAGGAAGATTGCTTGAGCCAGGACTTTGAGACTTCAGTGAGCCCACCACTACAATAAATTTCCAGATAGTGAGACACTGAATTTTAATTTTAAGGGCCAGAAGATTTTTTTTCACAGTAGTCTCAGGAAATGATTTTAACTTAATGTACTAAACTATATCAAGCTAAGCTCAAGTTCAACTTTTTTTTTTTAAAGAGACAGAGTCTCACTTTACTGCCCTCAGTAGAGTACTGTGGCATCACAGCTCACAGCAACCTCCAGCTCCTAGGCTTAGGCAATTCTCTTGCCTCAGGCCCCGAGTAGCTGGGGGGGAAAAAGGCCCTCGCCACAACTCCCGGCTATTATTTTCTTGCAGTTTGGCCGAGGCCTGGTTCAAACCTACCACCCTTGGTATATGGGGCTGGTGTCCTACGCACTGAGCCACAGGTGCCACCCAAGTCCAACATTTTTTAAACAATGCAATTTCTGCACTGTAAATCTTAATCCCAGCCCCCATTAACATAATGAAAGAAAGTTGAAAATACAAGTGTTCATTTGTATGCATGAATGATTTAGTATTTAGGAACCATACCTACGGCTCCATTTAAGGTCTGGAAAATTTTGCATTTGTGATCCAATGTGATGTTAATAGCTTCCTAAAAAATAAAGAATAGAAATTATATTGAAAATAAAAACAGCAAACACCACTATCATGTTAATATAGTTTGTTGGGGGGAGATTTAAAGTATAAACTTGTGTTAAGTGTCTAATAAACATATTTAGGTGACTGAAATACTTAGCAAAAACACAACTATTAGCTGCAACTCACTATAAAGTACACTTAAAGGAAATCATGTTTCCTAAAGGCAGCACTAACAAAGACACAATTCAAGAAACTTTATAACTGTATTTATTACATATAGTAAGTTTGGGAAATATTAACTTATATTAGGTAAATATAACAAAACTATTCTCAAATCAGAAAACTCTGGTTTTACTTTAGCCCAGAGTTTCACTTAATTACAAAAATGTTCTCTCTAGGGCCTGTGATAGACTAGTGTCCCCAATACCCATCCAACCTTCAGAACACAGATTTTCAGTAGGACACCTGTGCTTATAATGTAAAACAAATTCCTTTGATGTATTATGTGTGGCCACACAAATATGTTCTGGTCAAAGAAAGGTATGAAAAAGTACTCAGACTTCTAGATAGGTGGCTAAGAGAGTAGAGGCAACCTAGATGGCCTACCTTTTTACTATTCTGCCTTTTAGCCGCTGGAAATCTGAATGCAATTTCTGGAACTTAAGTTGCTACTTTGGACAAGGATGTTACATTGAAACAGAGTTACAGATGAATGGTAGAAAAACAAAGCTATTCCTCTAGGGGCCATAAAGCTGCCATAACAGCCTTGTGCTCCCTCTTAACTTTAACTTATAAAGGAGGAAAAACATACTTTAAAAAATCTATTAAGCCACTGCTATTCTGAGTTGCTCTATTTGTGACAATAGCAGTATTTCTGCCAATAAAAGGCACGAAGTTGTGTCTGTCACAGTCTGTGGATCATCAGACTCTAAGCTCTTTGGTATTTTATTATATTTCTTTAAATCCCCAAGCTCTAAATTCTCAATTATTCTAAATTCAAATTGGCTAGATAATACCATAGGATTCCACCAAGGGGGTTTACTTGACCAACCATACCCACAGGCTCTGTCCACTCTGAGCCCCCAAACACCTGGACACATACAAGGGCTTTTAAGCTCAATGTCTCCCTGGCATCTCTGATCACTCGGCTTCAAATATCACAGGGAAGTCCCTGTCCCCAGTAGTGTCACAGGCAAGTTTAAACTTAAAAACTGTCTTCTGAGCGACCTTACTCATGCCTTTTCAAATATCCAAAGAAAGTATTTTACAAAATAGAACCAAGTAAACACATGAATTCAATGTCAACATCTCATGAAACAGAAGGAAAATCCAGTTCCAGAGAACTCAGGGTTCACTTACTACAGTCTCGTTAACTGACTGTGTGGCGTCAGTTTCCCCTGCTGGTAAACTGGCGACAGAGTATGCCCTCACCTACTTAGGATCAAAGAAATGGCAGCTAGCTGGTCGAAAAATTGACAGAATAATGATCTCATCATTTATTTCAATCTCCAAGGTTTTGATGATATAACTCATTCTGTTATCATAAGGCAGATTTGGAAGCTGAGTATGCCGTGGGGGTGGGGCCGTAACACTAGTGTGAGAGCTTGCTGCTTCCTTTTAGCGGGAAATCATTTCGGTATGTGTTTCAATATAGCTATGGAGAAAGAGCCAGGTCATGTCCCTTTCCTATCCTTCTGCTGGATCCACCCAAGTCTGGCCACCACAAAGAAGCCGTAAAGGCACAATAAGCTAGGGCTGACATCCAGCCAGGTGAGAAAAAACAATCTCGCTTATTTCACTGACTCATACTATTTAAAATAAATTATTCACAAGATTTTGAAATTCAGGTTTACAGCGGCCATACTACACTTGTTTGTGACGACACCACCATGAAATCCATTGTTTCTGACCATCCCGCATCATCAATACCATAACAAAGCAACAAAAAATAAAAAAGTAAAATGCAGACTGTTACGTACCCTTTTCAGTGGGTCAATATAAATTTTAGTGTAAAAGAGCTGATCATCATCATTATCCTGGAGATTCCACTGTTGAACTATACGATTGATGTATGGAGCATAACCAATAAATCCTGCAACAGGGCAGAGAGACAATAGAAAACTCAGCATTCAAAGACTGAAACTCATGCCTATGTTAATCGCATTGACCAGCTGTGGAGCTGCGAAGTCATGAGACTTAATCCTTATGTTGTCATTTCAGAGCTCAACATAAAAGTTAAGTGTTCCTTGTTTTATATTAATATACAAACTGCAAAAGAGTAAGCATTACTATCCACTGTAAAAAAAATAGAAAATAATCAAACGCTCTCTAAATACATCGCTGAATTGACACAAGAGGGAGGGACTGTTTTTCAAGGCTCCTAAGCCGAAAATGTTCCTGGGAAAAAAACAGAATAATATGTAAGAATTTTCTCTGACTTTTTTTTTTTTTTTTTAAGAAAAAGAATCTTCTTGGATCCTCTGCAAGAAGACTCACTGTTTCTGAAAGAAAACAATCTCTACTACAGTGGTTTTCCTGCCAGTGCCAGAGACAGCAATGCAATCAAAGGAATGTTGGATTTGTCACTAGCTACAAACATCCTGAAGACATTTCATATCTAGAATATTTTGGGAATTTTTCCATTACTTGGGCAAGTTGTTACTGGGCCTGCTAAACTATTTTCTGGCTAGGTTTTGTGTGTCATAGTCTGGAAAAGGGAAGTCTAAAATTGGATTGTTCTCCTTGGCCTTAGAGCGTAAGCATTAAATCTGCCAATAATGTTTGCCTATGAAAGACCCAAACAGGATCATTTTTCTGTTGGTATCTTCCTCTGAATTTTGGAAATGCAGCCAAGCTGCTATGTTTCATTGACATACAATACTTTTAAAAAGGAACCAACGTTCCTCCTGTGAATTTAAAGGAAACCAAATTTTTTACCCTCGAGGTCAAAATTTTTCTCATAAGCATGAAAGAATTAAAAGAAATAGATCCAGGAAAAATTACTATTACCTAGAGAAAACAAGACGAAATGAAAACATGACAAGAACCACTAAGTGTTGCTTGTTTTTCATTCTTGCCAATAAAGAAAAATCCCAGAGCACTGAAAGATGAGACACTTTTAATTCCTATGGCCAGTCTTCTGTGATGAAAAATGTCCCAAGTAGTAACACATGACCTTTTCCAATAGTTGATATTCTTCAAAATTACATTTCCTATTTTTTATAAAACCCAAGTGTTCTTAGTAAATAAAAATGAATTATGTTTTCATAGCATATAATGCATTATTTTATGTGACTTCATAGTATGTCATATTTTGTGATTTACATTTTCTATCAAAAATTATTTTCAGTAACTAATATACCCAGAAGCCTAACTCATATCCCTTAAAGAACCCTCAATATATTAATAACACAAACTTGTATTGAATATATTCTGCCATCTCTAATTTTGACTAGAGAGCATAAAGATGATCATTTGATGTCCACGTATGATCCCTTTCCCACTAACAAATACCTTTTCCTTAATTAACGGTTACACTACTGCCTTATTTTTGGCTAGGAGATGTAATAATTTCTTCCACTAATCCATGGTGGCAAATATAATCCCATGCTTTAAGTAAACCCAGACACTCAATACAGAGTCTTGTCAACTGTTGGTTTCAAGACAAATCACTGATTTACTCCAGTAATGCTCAGAAAAATATATAATTAAGCACTGCCTATTTTTAAGAGCTACTTAATTGGAAATGGAACATAATCTTCATAAACCTTATTGTCTTGCTGCCATAAAATTCTCAATGAACTGTAATTAGAAGACCTGGATCCATGTTGTTTTTCTTTCAACAGAATGTCTTTAGGAGAACTCACTTAACTGGAGCGAATAGTTTTCTTATTTGTAAGGTAGAAATAATAACAGCCACACTGTCTGCCATTGTTAGGAGCATCGAATGACACAAAATATGGGAAATGCTTTGTCAACTATAAAATTCATTATGGACTTTATGATTTTCCATGGTAATAAGATAATGATTATTTCTTGTCTACGGTGATGACCTATATTTAAAAGGTTTTTTTCGTCAATGTCTACATTTTAACTCGCATTGTTAAAGAACTTGCAATGTCTACATGTTACGTTGCATGAAACTCTCTGCCAGTATCTTACCCACCTCCTGAATTCAGGTAGCGCTTCCCAATGTGTACGATGGGATACTTGTCTGCTAGTCTCTTATCCGGCCACAGAAGTCCATCTGCGGCAAACACCACTTTGTGGTTTGTCTTCTGGAACTTTTTTAGGACTTCTTCTGGACCACCGGCAAATATGACATCAAAACTGTTCAATGATGGAAAAGGGGATTCAAAATACACTTATCACAAGTTAGGCACCTAAACCAAGAAAAGGTCTCCAATAAAGTCAGAATTCAGTATCCAACGCAAAATTAATACCTGTCTCAACTATTTGCAGAGAAGACCGATTTTTCTTAAGCTTAAATTATATGAATTAAACTATTAGTGTTTACATTACACAATGAAGTCCAAAGAAGTATAGAAGACAGTATTTAGTCTAGCAATAGTGCTAAACTTCATAATTTTAATACGTTTCCCCAGGGCCAAATCTGCATCCTTCAATAGCACTAAAATGCTAGAAATGTGGTTATTTACTATATAAGTTAATAACACAATGATCATTTACAGAAGCTGCCATCATACCTACCTAACATTTCAATTCAACTTGTAACATGCCACTATCTTCATTATTATGTTTACCTAAATATATCAATTTGGCATTTCAATCACCAGTTAGCCAGAAATCTTAAAACGTGTGTTCAGACAAGTGTATCTTTTTAAAGTTCAATAAATTTGAAAAATTATATAAAACTGGCACTATAATGCCTAAAACTTCATTAAATTTGCTGAAGATTTTATTCCTCATAGTTCATTCATAGAATCAGGATGACTTAAAAAATACGAAGTGCAATAAACACTACTATTAATATCGAATGTAAATCACAATAAGGTTGTCCTGACTAAAACCTCAAATCAACTTCTTCCTGTTCTTCCTGTGTGTTTATTTAAAAAGCTGAATTAAACTGACTTTATAAAACATAACACTACTTTTCCTAAATACAACTGTTTTCCTCAGTCCTATGGAAGGCAGTATTTTCCTCGAGACTACATATTGTTGATAGTTCTACTTTTTTCCATATTGAAATTAGGAAATAAGACTAGTTGTTTAGGGAATCAGGCTGAGAAGTGAGGCTGCCATGTGAGTTACCCAGGAACCCAAGACATTCATTGCCTGGAGATGGGTGAAAAAATAGCTTATTAGGCAAAGAATCGTATGAGTGGAGACTTAGTTCAAACTGATTTTGAATTTGGAGGTAGCATCACTTATAAAAAGTTATAAATGTCCTTTTGGAAACTGAGTGAATGTTTTCTGTCTTTGAAACCCTCTTGACCGATACAGATACCTCCAAAGAGTAGCTCAAACTACTAAGAAGTCAATAGCTTAAAAAGGAGAAGCTGTGGCAACTTCTAGTAGCCACTATAAAATTTAGTATTTTATAAGCATGCATGACAACAAAAAGCAAAGACAAAACATTATGGCAAAAATTATCTTCCCATAACTCAAGGAAGTACTTGAATAAATTTAAGGTTGCTAAAACGTTTCCCATTCCATTCCAGCAGCATTGCTACGTCTGTGTTTAAAGACTTTACAAAAGTTCTTTGAACATACTTAAAACTTCCCAAGCACAGGATAGGTTTTCTATTAAAATTATTTTGGCCACAAAAACTCAAATTGTCAACTTAAAACACACACAAGTCATAGAAATAATTCTCATAGGAATTCAATCCACTTAAATATGAAGAATACAATACAACTTTCCATATTTAGCTGTGGCAAATATGTCTGAGTCCTAGAAAAAAACCTAAGAATACTACCTTATGTGATCTGATTGAGTCTTCTACCAGATACATCAGCATTCTGTCTCCAACAGATCAGTGAGATTTTTACAAATGTTTGTCCTTCTGTATTCTTGGTGTCATTGATAGATTGGTTGATTTGAGACAGGGTCTTGCTCTGGGGCTGGGAGTGCAGTGGTGTCATCCCAGCTCACTACAACCTTTCACTCCTAAGCTCAAGCAATCATCCTGCACTAGCCTCCTAAGTACCTGAGACTACTGGTGTGCACCACCATACCTGACTGATTTTTCTACTTTTTCATAGAGACAACAGTCCCACTATACTGCTCAGGCTGGTCTTGAACTCCTGGCCTCATGTGCTCCTCCCACCACAGCCTCTCAAAGTGCTGAGATGACCGGGTATGAGCCACTGGACCCAGCCTTCTGTGTTCCCTGTGTCTGTGGTGCCATCAACCACATGGTCACCCAGACTGAAATCCTTTCATTCATTCATCTTTGACTTCTCCCTTTCCATGGCCTCTCTCTTCAAATCTGTTGCCTAATCCTATTGATTCCATCTAGTTAATCCAGTTTGCACTCTAATCCTCTCCACTCCTACTAGAAAGGGCCAGACTAGATTAGCTCAAAACCCTACGGATTCCACATTACTCATCTCCTCCTCTTATGATTAAGACTGTTCGAAAATTTCTCCTTTAAAAACCATTCTGGGCCAGTCCCCAAACTGGATCAGTGGTTCTCAACTATGGCTTAAAGCAGGAATCAGCGAATTTTACTCTCTGCCCCGTTACAGAAAATTTTAGGCTTTGAGGGCCATATGGTCTCTGTCAGAATGACTATAATGCGCTGTGGTGGTGCCTGGCAGCTACAGACACTAGGTAAACATGTGAGCGTAACTATGTTTCAAGGAAACATTGTGAAAACAGGCAGCAATACAGGACATACTCTCCTGACCTGTGGCCTGTAGGATGACGTGTAAATGATTCATCCTCACATTAAGAACAGTCCATTAAATAACCTACTCTGAAGTCAAACTGAATCATTTCATCCGTCATCTATGCCTTTACTCCAGATGTCCCCACCGCTTGGTACATCTTTTCCCAGCTGGGTTTAAACCATTCATGTTCAAGGCCCCTCATACACGCCACCTCCCTTATCAGCTTCTCCTGAGTAAGCATAAATGGAGAAGAACATTTTCCTTCTCTTCACTTTCACAGCTCTTCCTCTCCCCTTTCGTTGACTTTTATTTTCTGCTCTTCATGCTAAGAGTGTCTATCTAACACTAGATTGAATGTCCCTCCTTCACATGCTAGGTCCACCTCCTTTATTCATCTGCATCTTGTGTTTTGAAGATACTCAACAAATATTTACAGAATAAATGAGTGAATGAAGGAATGAATGACCCCAAGTCTCAACAAGGAGCACAAGCTCCTAGGGAGCCAAAAAGAAAGCAACAGGAGTGTTCCCTAATTTTGTTATTTTTCCCCAATCTAATACTTCCTTCATCATCATGGAGATAAACTAACAAAAAATCATAATCATTCAAACTATTAATATAAAATTTAAATTAGTATAAAGTATAAACTGTATAAAGTTTAAAGCGGCGCACACAATCATTCTTTCATCATATCGTCACCTCAAATACGTCTGTATTTGTTGAGATAATTAGCACACAAACCAATACTATGGAATCACTCTTCACCCCTCAAAACACACACAAGTTGAAAATATCCATCTACCCAGTTTTGATTTTGCACAGTGAATTATAATAAAATCACAATGAAATGATTAAATTTATTTTAGAAATTTTGAAAGGAACGAAAGGGAGTTATGAAAGTAACGTTACCATATATGTACCAGATTGTTCCACGTATATGATGAGTACCTATCATTTTGGCACAAACTTTTCAGAAAAATCTTTCATTTTAATTCTTTAAAGGAGGGTGGACTTGCTGCACAGTGCTGCCCCCTTTTCTCACAAGATGTGTGAGGCCTGGAGGAGCCACTGAAAATGTTTATATATCTTCGAATACAAATAAGATAGAATAAGATAAAATAGGATATGGTCAGCTTTAGAAGAACATAAATTATAATTCTTCCACAATAAAATAAAATCACAATCATCCTTTCACAATTAGCAATGTGGCCCAATAAAACATAATCATCTAGAATTTTCTAAAACCAAATGATTCCAAAAAGATTATGCCAATACTCATGTTTTATTAAAGAGATGCATATTCATCTTCCTCATTAGGTTTGTTCAGGTTTCTTTTTTCTTTGTAGAATTAATGATATAAATAAGAATTCCTTGAAAGTGGTATCTGTTTTTATCTTTTTCCTTAATGTTAAATTCACGTTATGCTCAATACATGTATCCTGAGTGCAAAGTGAAATACTCGCCCACTGATCTAACTTTTTCAGCAAAATAACATTCGATGAGAAACCAAAATAAACACTGGATTGACATATGAAAGAAGCAATAGCAGATTTATACTTTCTAAATACTATGATTTGGATACAAATCAATACAGTTTGGATGCTTTCCAACCATTAGAAGGCATCTGATTTTCCCAAATGAACAAAGAAAAACAATCTCAAAATAGTTTCAAACCATCCCTCATAATTCTTCTTGTGAGGTCTTTTCTTCTTGCAGTACAATTCACCATTAACCAATAGCTACTGATTTCTTGCACCATGGAAATAAAGGAATCAGGTACAGCATCCTGGAAATTTGTAAGTCAGTTATAGTTCCCAACTTCATTGTGTGGAACACACATAAAATTACAATTCAGCATGATAACTGGAGAGAAGATAGCCATGGATTAGACAATCAAAGAGGTAAAGCCCACAGGTGAACAACAGGAACTTGTGTGACTGAGATTATCCCTATAAATGCAATTACATCCAGGGCTCACTTATCTTGGGCCAACCTCCCAGACCAGAGGCATTTAGAAAATTGTTAAAATAACAAAATTTCATTTATTTTAGTTGATATTTATTTTATATATATGAGAGATATCAACTTTTGTAGTATAGCACTCACTACCATTCTAGGTTTTGGGGGGTTTTTTGTATTTAAGGTTAGTTTTCTTTACTGCTAATTGGAAAAAACCAATTATTTTATCTTCCCTCAAACTCAACAACCATTTTGACATATGTCAATGAATTGGAAAGTTCCTATATACAAAAATCTTTCAGAGATATTCTCATAAAGGAAATATTTCTTTTCTTTTTTGTATGGCCAATAAATACCACCAACTAAGTCGTTCAAATGTCTCATCTACCAGGAGTCATCAAAATAGAGCACAAGTGCAGTCTAACTAAAAGTTACATACGGTGTAGCCAATGAAAGGATACATTTCTTCCCTGTCCCAAATTCAAAATCAAATACTAACTGCAGCAACTTTACATAGTATTTCTAATAGTGTTCTTCTAAATTTTCTTAAATCTAAAAAATTTTTAATTCAAAAACGAAAACAAAGTCAATTTTTAGATGATTGTATCTGATGCCAAAAATATGGAAAAAGTATTCTAACTTAGCTTCTTTAAGTTGCAACTCTCTATATGCAGCACAGCAACATTATGTGGGACGTTCATTATGTATCAAATTACTCCCCCAAACACAAACACTTGCCTATACATTAGTTTATATGTGTATTATCCTTATTAAAAGAACCCACCATATTGTCATAATGTAACAATCAAGTCTGATCACCTGTCTTCAGTGGGACTACAGTAAAAGGCATACATACATTGTAACATAATTCTAAAAGTTATACAAAGTATTTTATTATAGAATTCAAAATGAATGGAGAAGCAAGAATCCAATGTACTCAATTCAAATATGAAAGCAGTAGATGATCTAATGCAAAGTGGGGGGTAGGGAAATGAGGGATCCCCGGGGGGCCGGGGTCAAGGGTATATGGCATACCTCTTGGGGCAGGACACAATTACAAGAGGGAATTTACTGGGCAGCACCTGTGGGCTCAAAGGAGGAGGGCAATGGCCCCATATGCCAGAGGTGGTGGGTTCAAACCCAGCCCCAGCCAAAAACTGCAAAAAAAAAAAAAAAAAGAATTTACCTAACAAACACAGTGTAATCTCATGCTTTGTGCCCTTAATGAGTCCCAAACAATTAAACAAAATGTTCATTCATTTTTTCAAAGATATATTATAAAATCATTTTGGAATCATTTCTCTCCAACAAAGTGTCTGTAGCTACCAATATATAATATTTGTATCCCAAATTTTCATTAACCTATATCAAAATTACTTCATCCTTTAGAAGTCACCAAGTTCATCATATTTAGTGATGGTGTAATCAAGGGAAATTATCAAACTTTACAACTCATACTAATTATAAAGAAACACAGACATACAAACTCACATACATACTTTCACACTATACTAAACTTCAAACTTTTTCCAAGTTATTTCAATCTACCCTATGGAGATTTTCAGTTTTCTTTTTTTTCTTTTTTCTTTTTTCTTCTTTTTTTTTTTTTTGAGAATAACCCAAACCTTCCCAAATATTTGTTTCTAAATTAAATGTGGTAAATCTTACCCTACAGAACATAACTATGAAGATTCTGTCTCTAGTTTTAAATGTTCATCCAAAGTTTAGGATAAATATTCTTGCATAAACACGCATAAAAGCTTTTCTAAATTCACAAAAGCCTATCTAAATGGCACAAGGATCATTGTGGAGCCTTGAAAATGTTTTAAATTTGAACATTGGTGATTGCGCAGCTCTGCATATTTATTAAAAGTTATTGAATTTTATACTGAAATGTTTGTCATGCTATATAAATTATACATAATCTGTTTTTTAAATAAAAAGTCCTATGTAAACCATTAAGTACATAAATCTGTGTTTTTCTTAAATATAATGATCAGTGCTTCCATTAAACTATAAACTAATTATTACAGTCGACTTGTCCCTAAAGTAGTAGATAAAAACATGAATGTGTGTGTCTTATTGAAATGAATGTATTCTGAATTCTGGCCCTTTACCACAGATAAACTTTGTAAGGTGTTCAGTAATTTTATAACAGAACAGGCATAATGTTTCAAATTTATAAATAGCCTAGTTCATATCTCCTGAGCCCTAGATTGCCTATAATTTTCAACTATATCCATCACTCTGTATATGCTTTTTTAAAAGTGGATTGTTTCCAAAAATAATACAAGGAGGGGGAAAGCTAAGTGTCACTAATTGTGTCCCCTCCTTTGCCCTCATGGTAACTTTCTCACGTCCCCTGAGCTATTCCACAGCACAGACACGGGACACGATGATGGAGAAAATGATAGTAACTTTACTCGGACAATGACTTTGGTGAGTGGGGCATCTAAGGTGTCAGCTGGTTGGATCTTCCATAGAAGAAATTGTCAAATTCTGACTATTTGGTTCACTGATATAGACCAAATACTAATAGTATTTAGAAGACAATGAGACTTTTATTAAAATTTCACTATCTTTTCTGTCAAGTTAAACCCAACCTCAAGCAGGCTTTAGACATCTCACGGTATCTCTTTTCTTATTAGAAACAAACAAGCCCTTCACTATACCAGCTCCCAAAAGGCTAATCTTCACTTGGGAGAGAGTGGGAAGTGGAGATGGGTGGGTAAAGGTATAGGAAAGTTCTTCCCAAAACCCAAAAGATGGCTTAGGAACCTAGAATCATTATTGCTTCATATGCAATAACTTTTACAAAGAGAATCTATCTTGGAGCTAAAATCAAAATGTACATGTGCCAAGTTCAAACTAATTAATATGAATCTTGGAAATCCATAGTAATTTTAAACCAAAATATACTCAATATTTAACCTAAAGAGCTATGATAACAACCTCCTTATTCTTTAAAGATAAAAAATATATATAGTAGTAGATGCTGTTGAAAAATCCCAGGCGTGCAAGCTAACCCTGACCATACCATAATTCACCTGGCAAGAATAGGTAACGGTAACCACAAGTAGAATTTAATGGTTTTGGCTAGGCAATAGCAGGAAAGTTCTAAAGATGTAAGTATCTAGGATTCTTTCAAAATTTTGAAGTATTGATGGTACAGGAACTTTATTTCACTTCAAAATTCATGCCTTTCTTATTTACATACTTGTATAAAAATTACTCTTATTTTCATCTGTAAATTTATGACTTTGCATTCTCAAATGTAAAAAATATAAAGTCTTTGTTACTATATAGGGGAAAACTCTGGAATAACTGAAATGAGCAATAATTGACTAAAAAATAAAAAAAACCAAAAGTTGTAACTATAAACCTATGGCAACTTGATCGTATTATAAAAATCATAACTGCAAGATGGTAGTAAAGATAGTGGATATTTTTAATAAAACAGTGTGTGATATTATATTAAAATATATTTACATTGGAGAGGTTCTTTAACAACACAGGCTTTCCTATATCTCACTTGTATTTATAATTCTACACAATCCTTTTTCTCCTAGTTGGCCAGAATCCATTAAGATGCCCTTCTTAGAAGAAAAGTTTGACATAAAGTTCATTTTTAACTCCAAGATGAATTTCATGAAAGCATTACCTTGTGATGTTTCCTCACTGGTGTTTATAATAACCAACTTCGATCATGGCATTATGTCAGATCATGGTTTTATAATTATCAGAAATATCTAATATTTAAAATGATGATTCCTTGTTAATAATAATCTACAAATACAAATTTTGACTCTTTCCAAAAATAACATAGATTTTAAAATCCACAAAGTATTTCTCTTACCATTCAGTAAACAAGATAACCAAATCATCCTCATTGGCATACTGTTCCATGACTTCTTTCATTAATCTCACTTTTTGGCCCCCTCCAATGGTATTAATTCCATCACCTCCTCTCCACTCTTCTCCTTGACCAAGAACCTATGAATAAAATCAACATTTCATCCCTGAGAAAAAGTCAAATTATGATACTATGAAAACTGAAAGACACAGTATTGCACCAAACCAACCTTTAAATGTTTCATTAATTCATGATTCTAGAAAGAAAAAAGGAAAACAAAGTTTGATGCCTAAGTCAGGTCATAACTCTTCAATGTTAGCTACCTCAAAAAAGCCATTTCTAATTTTGCCATTTCAAAAGCTAAAAGCCTAAATTGAGGAGATGGACTCAGAGTATTTCTCATATTTTATGGTTTACTCCTATTTGTTCAGACCAAAATGAAAAAAACGAAGAAGCCTCCCATATTACTTTTTTTCAATCTGGCAGGAAATCTGTATGATCAAAACTGAAAGCCCAACTTGACTCCTGGATGGAGCCCTTAAGCAATTTCCCTACTAAACCAAAATGGATTGTTCAGGAAATTGCAAAGGGCATCAAGTAAAACCTTACCTCCTTTACCTTATTAACTTTTAATCTTACACAATCTTCAAAAGCTTAGTAAGAATTTACCAATGCAAGACATTGCCTAAGCACGATGAATTGGAGCCAAACCTGCACTCTCTCTTCACAATCTGCCCTAGCCTCCGCAGCTGCCTCCTGAATTGGAAATGGGTTATTGACACACTTGGCTCTGAGGGATGCAAATAAATCTGAACTCTAAAGAGCCAGGTCTTCAAAACAAATCCCACGTAGCTAACTGGGGCTAAATTCTAAGTAGAGACAAATGGCCATTTGTGAACTAGAGGTCACACAGACTGGTGTGTGACCAGTCTGGTTATCCAAAGCCCCACATTTCTTTTAGAAACTTTGGGACTTACAGAGGTCATCTGAACTAACCAATCAGAGTCAGGTCTACCAACCAACCAGTGGTGATGACTAATCAGACTAAGCAAATCTGTCTCCCTCAATTGCATAAATGAGCCTAAACCCTCCCATCTTTCTGTGGAAGGCACCTTCTCAGTTTGTTTTGTAAACTGTTCACTGGAATCGTCTCTTCCCTCCAAATTCCTTTTCAGAGAACATTTTCTTCACAGGAAGCAGGAAATACAATATGCATCCCGCCCCCTCACACCTTTCATTACAGTTTTGTCTTAGGTAGCCAAGATTATAATCTATTAGGAGATCTTGACATCTAAAGGGAAAAGAAACTGACAATTATAAAATAAGAGATTTAGAAAAACCAAACTTAGGAAATAAGTAAAACTGTAAGCTAATAGTATTTAATACTGTACCAAATATAAATCTGGTTGACAAAGTCTTTGGGGCACCCAAGATCAAATCTTTCATCACTTCATCACTGCCTAAGGGAGTGGGGAGAATGTTACTCAAGAAAACTTAAGCTTTGGGGATCTAGAGTTAAATTGGGACTCATTTAGTAGAGTTATTAGTTATTGCCTTAAAATGTGGCCGCCTCTGGCCCTGGGATTTGTTAACACAACCCAACCCGTCTAGAGCCTCTGAGGCTGAAGTAATTGTGGGCCCCAGCACATGTGAGGGCCTACCTAGTGCAGTGCCCCATGTTCAGCACTATTTTCTACATCTCTCCCCTAGGTAGAGACTGCCCCATTTTGGTGTACATCACAATTATGTGGAGGGCTTGTTGTAACACAGACTTCCGGGTATCACGACCAGAGTTGGTGGTTCAGTTGGTCTGGGCTGGAGCCTGAGCAGGTCCTTTCTGTCTAGTAGCCAGATGGTGTAGATGCTGGTGGTCTGGAGTGCGTGCTTTGGAAGCTACTAAATACATCAGGGAAGGCGGCAGGAGGATCTAGAACTCCTGAGTGAGTCAAGTGGGGCTGGCATCCAAGATCTAACATTATTATCACCATGTACTTTGCTGCAAGTTTTCATCACCCATAAATGAAGTAGTATCTACCTCAAGTGGTTTACGTAAGGAATTAACAGCATCCCATGTTTAAGTTCCTAGCAAAGTGCCTGCAGGTAAGAAACAATCCAATTTCCTCCCTGTCTGGACTCTAAAGATCTGCTCACTAGATTTCAACGTTATTTTTTTTTCATATTTTTTATTACTTCCATAGTGTCTCCAATTAGTGCACACTCTACAATATTTACCATCTATCCTATTTCTAACATTTTTCTGTATTATACATCTAGTTGCTCACTAGATCTCTCCCTCCCGTGAAGGTTAGACCCTTTAGTAGTAGTTACATGTTCCCAGCTGTACCTAGTCTTCCAGTGGTTATGTAATAAATCTTATCTTTTTTATCTACTGCATCCTCAAACAGTTCAGTGTTCCCCCAAGCATAAAGTAGTCTTCACCATCTTCATTAAGTTTTTTTTTTTTATTCCTATCAAGTTACTGTGTCATGCTCATCTTTGTAGAAAAGATCCGACTGACAGATCCCTCATTCTATTGAAAAATAAAGCAAGGCTCTCATAGCTCAGTTTAATATTTCTACCAACTTTAAGTTTCTTCTGATCATTTATCAATGAGATATTCACTGGAGGCAAGTTTTCTAAAACCCTGTCATACCTTTATAATGCTCCAAAACGCCCCTAAAACAAACACAAAACAACAAAATCCATTTTCAATAATATACAAAAAAGTCAACCCCTTCAGTCATGTTTCGCATTCTCTATAAATAATCAAATTTCCTGTGACAGAGAAATCTATTACAGAAAAAAAATCATTCAAATTCAGTAAAAAAAAATTGTCAAATCTTAAGTTACATGACCCTCCCCTCAAAATTATATATGTAGACACATACAAACATAGACTAATTTTCTGCTGTTTTATATAACATGTTTACATAAGCATTAGCAAAAATTAAGAAATAATTATCTGAGTGGCAAAGTATTAATAAGACCAAAACATTGCTTTAAAACTATATAAGTTAAAAGCAATATATAATCAAATTTTATCTTCATTGTGTGGATTACAAATTGAGGTGTTGCTGCTATAAAAAATGTACTAGACACACATTCTAACATAGATTAAAGAATATACCGTACCTTCACAGTATAATTGAAATATTTGGCTGACTGCATAAATCGATGGAATCCATCACTTTCTTTTGTTGCTACAGTTATGACTAATAATTTATCTGCAAAGACAGAAGGAAATAACATAGCACGGTTTACCAGGAAGTTACATACTAACACTTTATAACTTAATACAGTGATTACAAAACATATTAAACTCCTGAGAATGTTCTGGTTTGTTAACGTACATATGAATAAACAAAAGTGTTGTTGAAAAAATAAGCAATCAAATTGGTTTATTAACTGCCAGATAATGAACCATCAAATGACAAAGTATTTGAATGTTAAAAAGTACCTTAATGCTTAAAGAACTGCATACTCTCAACCGAGTATTTCAACATAAAGAGAAAATCTTCTATACAATGCACACTTTTCGTAAAATCTGTAAAGATTAAGACTCTACTGGCATTATCTATCAACCAGTTTCACTGTCACCTATAAATCATCCCTGATTTATGCCACACATTAGTTAAAATGTGTGTAAATTACATTAGTCTAAACACGGATATATGCAAAGAAAGAGAAGATTCAATCGTAAGTCTGATCCTAATTCTCTAACATAAGTTGTAACAAATTGAGAAAAATATTTAGAAATATAACTTTTTCCCTTACATTCATGATTTTTTCACTAAAAGTCCTTAAAGCATTAATAACTATATCATTTATTTATTCAGTGTTTTTTTCTTTAAAGAATAAAAGGAATCAAAATCACTGCTGCCCTTATAAATATACAGTTTTAAATTACCATGCCATAATACATTATTTTCAATCCAACATAACACATCTCAGTAGAAGTAGGTTCAAGGTGTTATGTCAAAGTACCTATAGAAGCTAATGAGGATGATTAATTACCAGGAAAAGGGATATTAGAAATGCAGAAAAGATCAAATGCAGAAATATCAATAAATGCCAAAGGGGCTGAGATCTATATTACTTTTTTAACCTAATATTTAGGAGGACTCATGGATGAAGAAAGCAAAACGAACCAGTGACCATTCTGGCCACTGAATACTATACCTTGATTCTCACCTATCAAGAAGATTTTCTCTATCAAGAAGAAAAAAATTCAGAAGATATTAAGCATCTTCTACACGATAGACAACCACTGAACAGAGAATTAATACACTAAAGGAATTAGTTAAAAGTAATATTGTACAAACCAAGGTAATTCTCCACCAAATTCTGAAAATAGGTAAAACAATGCAAGTAAGTGAAATACACATAAAGAAAGAAATTCATGCACTCATTAGTCAACCAAAAAAGGGGGGGAGGGGAAAGCATTTCTATAAAGATAAATGTTAACATTTTTAGATTTTTTTCAAGAGGCATTTCTTATGTAATTTTCACTATAGAAAATACTCCAGGAAATATAGTCATTTTCACTAAAGTTGTCAATGTTCTAGTAAATATATTTTAAGAATACTTTTTAAATTATCTTTTAAAAATCAAAATTTCATTTATAAAGTTTCAAACAGGGCTTAGCTGACTAATAAAATTTGACATGTTACCATTCACAAAAAAAGTCTGAAATAAAAAGTACCACATTTTATTTTATAAGAGTAAAAGCCATGCTATTTAGAGTCTTTTCTTTGTAATAAAATGACAAGGTAACTTTCCTACTCAAATATTTCTACATAAATTATAAGAATTAACTATAATTTTAGATTTTGATTGGATGAATTTTCACACTTAACACTGTCAGTACGAAGTTAACAGCAAGGATTTCATCACCCATAACAGAAAAAGTAAAGTTGGCCAGACGCCTGCGCAGACAAAAATGTTACCGAGTCCAATGACTCAGAAGGCAAAGTTTAAAAATGTATAATCTGACCACGTCTAGCAATCCCACGCCAAATAAGAGCTCCTACGGTTTCGGTACTGTTTCTTATTATAACACGCCCAAAACAAATAATGAATATAAAATTTTGTTAAAGGGAGTTACATCTAATAATAAATATATGTGTGTGTTTCCTCTAACCTGCTATTCAGCATCCTTACGGAAAAGAGAAGCAGCCTTATTCAATCCAATAAAGTAAAAGACAAAGAGTTGATCATGTATCACTCACACATTTATCCACCAATTTAAGAAGCCAACATTCTCACCATTTCACAAAGTATTTTCAGAGATTTTTCACCTAAATTTGATATATACTTTAGATTTCAGTACAGTTTATACTACAAATTTATCAAAAATAGAGATAGGAGAATATGGTAAGTGACACAAAAAAGATGTCCTCAATAAAATCCCGAACCTGAGAATTTCTATAGGACAAATGACCATCTTACACAATCAATGGGTAACAAAAACTATAAAATTAATGGCAATTATATATTGATATAATTAGGAGTCATTTCAAACCAGGTAAATCACAGACCTTAGCTGGGTCCTGATTCAAAAATACTAACTCTAAAAAGTTATGAGAAAATTAGGGAAATCTGGACATTAATTGGATATTCGATAATGGGAAATTATTGTTTTTAGCACGATGATGGTGTTTACATTTTTTTTTAAAGTCCTTACAATTTAGAAAAACACAATGAAATATTTACAGAATGAAATGCTGTGGTGTTTGCAAATGTTTTAAAGTTGTTTGGAATAGATGGAAGGCAAGGACTGAGGAAGATAGAGATTAAACAAGACTGGTCATGTGGGATGACGGTGGAAACTGGATTACTTTTGCACATGTTTGAAAATTCCTATAGTTAAAAAGAAAGAGATCAGCTTCACATAACACCTCTAATCTTTCAATAAAAAAAGTAAAAAATTATTCAACATAAATCTTTTAAGAGTCTGAATCATCTAAGTAAGGAAAGTGGATTATGTAACCACAAATGGGTTTTTTAAACCAAACAATAGTA